GACAAGATAATGACAAACGCATACACAGTTTTATAGATACTTAAAGAAGAATTATACCAGACATGGTTTCTACCTGTCGGCAAGCTTTTTTTTAATTAACTTCATACGGAACAATTTTTTTTTTAAATAACTATAGTATGTCGTTTTGAAACTGTTTTTTTTTTTACTAAGTTTATGATACAAATAAATGTAGGGGAATTATAGTTAAGATTACTTTTATAGATTCTCTCATAGTTCAAAGTCAAACTAGCGGTATTCCGTGTAAAACAAGTTTTGAAAATCTTATTTGTTCATTACGCTTTTATGTAATACATTTATTTAATTCTCAGATTTAAATCGGTCCTTCCCTAATTTGATCATCATTATGGCTAACGGAGTTATTGCCAGAGGTATTGTGAGTTGACATGACCAGGTATTCAAGCGATTTCCTGTCGGGCTTAAAAACTCTTATTACACAATTACGTAATGCAGGTTCATGCATCGCTTCACTGCTGACCATATATACCACTGTGTATAGATCAGTGTATACGGCCGGTATTTTGAAACTATCAGGTGTAATATACATCATGTGTACATTTTGTTTGTCTTGAGTCCGACAGTGATACACAAGACATTTGTAAACTCATACGTGTAGTAAAATTTACTACCACTTGTTTATGAATAACATTTCTGGCGTAATGAATGATATTTATGAAAATCTAAATAATTCCAACTACAGATTAGATGAAGTAAAAATATATTTAGATATTTTCCAATGGTAAAATATGGAAAAGGTAAGTATGTACTCGTTGTCAACAATTATGGACATTTTGAAACATATGAATATTTCTAGTATTTCACAAAAATGCACACAAATGTCGATCATTGGTTAATACAGATAGAAAGTTACGGAACTATAGATAGTCGCACATTAAAACATGAATATTGAAAAAAAAAGAAACCTCCAGAACAAATCTGATTTAAATTCAGATCAATCTCTAACTTGCTTTACTTCCTCGAAGTTATGAACATAAGCATAGTATAATCACAGATTTATATTTCAATTCGATTGTTCTAGAACAGATTAGGAAATACGTCATCACAATTGTTAGTTATAGTATATAATAATGTGAACCTAGTGAAAAAGCACGTGCTATTCCGACTAAGCGTTACTACCTATATAATTATGTTTCTGCTTCGGCGGTTCATTTGTGAAATAGAAGAAAAGAAAACAATTGGTATCTAAGTGGATCTACGTTTCGATCAAGCTTCATATTGATTATAAAATATTCAAGATTTGCGACTTATATTGAATAAAAAGATGTGGGATATTATTTCCAATGACAGAGGCCAAACTATAACACAGTATAGTAGTCTCAGATTATACGCTCGGAATATACGTTTTACTATATTGGATCTTTTACAAATGCTATTTTAAACTATAGTCCTAAGCAAACGCTCTGTATTTTTTTTTTATCCGACAAGATTAATTTCGGATAATCTTAAGAAAAGAGGCTATGATTTTATTCGGGTAGGTTTTGGGTGACTTGGTGTTATATCACCCGCCCCGTACTCGGTATTTTTTCACACAAATCATATAAATTTGAGATCCTTCAGTTTGCATATAAATATCATTATTCAAATTTCGTTTAAAAACTTACAAACCAAAGACGAATAATAACGTATGGTTTAGTACAACATGCAGGCATTAACCTATCGTTGACAGAGATACGACAACGAGACATTGATAGTACAGATTCCCTAAAATCCTTCGGTCTGCATACAAAAATATATCATTATTCGAATAACCATGTTGAATTTACACCCACCAAACCACTAAAAACGTTTGGCTAAGTATACATTTTTTTTTTGTACCGTGCAGACATTTAGATATATTGAGGGACCACTTACAATACCTCATATAAAAATAAACACGCTCTATTCATCAACAAAAATGTGTGAATAAAAGTTTATTTGATCTCGAGCTAACTTTATCAACAGATAATTAATTAGCCTAAATTTCTATTGAATGCTGATCATTTAATGAAAGAAATGAAAATCGGCATTCTATTTAAAAAAAAGAATTCCCCCGAGAAATAATCTCCACGTGATTGCTATTTGAATTTTATTACGTATATTTTGAAATACAAGAATTCTGGTAAACTAAATTTAACACATGTGCAATGGTATCCCTCTATTAAATTTGGGGAAATATAGCATTAATTGTATTCTTGTATTCTTCATATTTGAGTCTATATGTTAATTGCAAAGAACGTAACCGAAAATGTTTCCTTTTTTTAGTTTTATTCACTGCTGGAATTAAAAATTTTAATTTTATTTTCAAGGAAATCATACAATTATTTTTTTCTCATTGTCATCAGATATTTAATCTCGGTGTATTAAACTCGCCATTCCGGCTACTTTTGTTAATCCATTCAAAATGACAACATATTCACACATGTAAAAGCGTACGTTTGAGGCTTAATTGCCCTCAGGTAAAATAAACGAATAGTTTTTAGAAATGCTCATCTATTCGAGAAATAAACAATGCCTTTCCGAAATAACAGGCACATTCTATTCACACGGACTTTGCGATGAAGACTTTAACTGATATTTTTATTTCCCAGTATTTCCTAAATCGGGTTAAAACGTCACAACCCGATGACGTATGTCAACCAAAAAAGTTACAAATACTTGATTTTCTCAGTTATCAAAGGGAATATAAATTTAAAACTCTGTGTTTTTTTATGTTATGAGGAACATATTTAGATAATAAGTAAAAAATCTCGGATTTTCCTTTAAACTTATGTCATTCAACTTAACTTTTTTTCAGTTAAAGTAACTTGCTGCTGTTAACCTAGCAACTTTTAATCTCACTTAAATTACTGAAGTTTATTTAATTAACATCGGTTTATTGAATTGGCTCCAGTAGACTAAACCTTTTGCAGTTTACTTAACTCACTCCAATTTCACTCTACCTCCTTAGTTGAAAACTATTTTTTTCTATTGATCTAAACTAAACTGATCTCATATAAGAGAACATCAAAAAGATAAGATTGATTCCTTACTGTTAGAAGGAAGTAATGAATATTTTAGATTTTTATTGACAAATTTTGCAATGTAGTTGATACCTTCGATCGTAATGGCAAAACATAATTGTTTATCATCATGTTGCTTTGAATAATCTTTAGTTTCTATTTCTTTATAAATCTATGGCTATTCAAATTCGGTCGAACGGAACCAGTTAACCAAACCGGTAGCAAACTGATAAAATGAATGTGTTTATCAATATGAACTGCTTACTGGCACTGCATCATGACGTTTAATTAAAAAAATCAAATAAAGAAAAAGAAATTCGAGCAACGAAAACAAATTAAGAATATAACTTTGAATTTTAATCTAAAATGACATTTCAAGGATTTTTTCTAACATAATAGAATTGAATAATTGCATTATAATTTTATTCTACAATTCAACATTTCTATTCTGATATCTAAATTTGAATTTAAATCCCATTTTCTTGTTTCTTTTTGTCGTTTCGGTGATATTTGAATAATCTTTCAAATAAATACTGTAGAAAATATACCAATCAACTCGAGGCTGTTTGTAAGTTTGTCTTTTTCTTTTCGATGATTTCTTCTCTGTCTTTCTTCTATCCATTGTTTTCGATCGCCCCAGTATGCCCCGATTTATGGTATAACATCTTGCATGTCCGACATCACTACAATATGGAAGGAGTGATTTTTAAATCAGCATTATTCAATTGACAAATATACCAAAAGTTTTCTTTTGCATAGACAATTGTATAGACTTCATAAGAAAAAGATATGGAAAGTTTTTGAGTGTCGAGTTGTAATGCGTTTTTGCCATCGCATAAGTAATTTCATAATGGGGATGCCAAGTTAACAAACATTACATATTTGAATTTTATAGCTAGTCCGCTAGCATACATTTATCAAATTGTTACTTCTTTTGCTGACATTTTTGAACATATCATATCTGAGGTCAAATTAACTGCAAAAACATTCAGTACTGATTGATTTTTTTCAATGTAATGATACCAATGAAATTTATTTAGTTTTTTACACCGTAATGTTCACTTATTTTATCTTCTTTTTACCACTATTCAATCTTTTCCTTTTTCCTTCTTTAAACTTTTATTTTAAAAATGAAATATGAGAGAGAACTTAAATTTAAACAAACAACATTTTACATTCACATCATTTAAATTTATTTGTGATCCCCGGTTTTTAATGAATTTACTTTCAGTTTTATTACAAAAATGTAGACATTTATATCTTGCAAAAATTTATTTTAGTTCGTGTTAACCATTTAAACCCATATAAATCAATAACAACTTGTTTATAGATTGTAGTTAAGTATATATCATTAACGTGTATACATATTGAATTACACTTCCAGTTATGGCGGATGATACGTTAAAACAAGTAGAAAAACAAGACTTACTTAAATCTCAGAAACCACTTCAGTGTAGATTCCATGACACAGAAGAATACCAGATCTTCTGTAAAGATTGTAAGGATTTTATGTGTTTTAAATGCCTCGGACAGTTACACCAAAAGCACGACCTGAGCCCATTGCGAGATTCCGAGGTAGATATAAGGACAGAAATGGAGGCTCTGATGTTTAGGGGAAAATATGTTGAACAACTTACTGTACTGAGTGATAAGCTGTCGGAGAATAAGAATAAACTTGCACAAGACGAGGAAAATATAAATTGTGAAATTAGAACTAGTGTTGAAAAAATGAAGCAAAAAATAGACTTGTTAGTGGAAAATATATTTTCTGAGTTACGAAATACATTCAAAAGCTACCAAACAACACTACAAGAACAAAAAACAAACGTCAATAATTTACAAACTGAAATAACTAATTTAGACATTGATAAGCTTCCCGAGTATAACCTAAACCATATTATTAATATTATGTCTGAAATGAAAGTATGTTCCTCAACGTGTGACAGAATTATAAATCATCCAAAACCGAACTTTAAACCAACTATGGAGTTTTCCATTGGGAATGTAATCCTTTCAGATGGAAATAATAAAGGTGATGTATCAGCATGGCCCTCATGTTCTGACATATCAATTCAAACAGATTTTTCTGAGGATTCAGACATTGAATGGTTTGATGCTGAAGACATGGAAAAAGATGATTTCATAGAAAGCTCATCCGATGAAGTAACAGATGAAATAGATGAATGTCCGATTAATTTCATATTGAAGCAGGATATAAAGCGTGTTCAAAAAATAGTTCCTATTTCTGAAAAGGATGCTTGGATCATTTCGAACCGGAAGTTGCTTAAAATTGTCGATCATTCCTTGCAAGATGATGTGTACGCAGAGATAGTTGATGATATTGTTGTTCTAAAAGATGGCTGTGTCTTGGTACTTCGTTCTGATGAATCCTTTGTAATGAAACTACTTCCAAATAGACGGCTAGTAAGATTTGCAGACGTTGGTATCATGTGTTCATATATAAGGTGCAATGCATATTGCATTTGCATAAAAGATGACATAGTAGTAACATATAATTGGTCTATTACAGGAGGTAAACATTACGGATATACTTGCTGCAACCATATCATATGGATGAACACAGATGGAATAGTAACTGAACGCTCGTTATTTTCTAATAGTGTTTGGAAGCGACCATGTTCCATACAAAATTTAGAATCAGGCGTGTGTGTCTTATATCGTGTAGACAATGAATCTGACTTGCATTGTATAGAGCTATTAGGGGCGAAATCTGATAAATGTAATAAACTTTATTGTTTTAAAGGGATATATGGGTTTAATCCAGAGAAGAACTTTGAATGTAAAGGAATGTGCGTCGATAAAGCTGGCAACACATTAGTATCAGACTATCGTCACCACAGTGTGTATGTACTTGACAAAGAGTTGAAGTACAAGAAAACATTATTCGATGCGAGAAATGGACTGGACAAACCAGCGGCCATCGGTGTTTTCAATGACCATCTGTGGGTTGCCGACGGAAATCAAATATTCATTTTCAATTATGAATGTGAAGACAGTAGTTAAACTTTGTCACATCTATGGAAAAAAGTCAACTTTAAAGCTTCTGATTCGATGAACGGGTATATAGTATAATTGTTTATATATTCATGAATAATTGCAGTGTGTATATATACAATATGAATTTTGGAACACGTCAAATATTTATAATTATTTGAATATTCATAAGTTTGAGGTCAAATGACGGTTGCTATGGATCCTATGAACAAGGTCACAAAAATGTGCCTCATTATTGTTTTATCGAGGGAAAAATACTAGTTTTCAACACAGGACAGTTTACATTATAAACGTCTATACAATTTCTTAAGAAATAGCGAAAAGTTTCTTGAGCCATGAAGCAGTGCACCAATTACATTTATTTTTTTCAAAAGTTTTATATAGACCTCAGTTGGATTATACTTTTGTGTGATAACTTCCAACAATCTCAGAATGTTTTCTGCAAGAGCCGAATCCCCAATTCCACTTACCTAACAAAAAAGATTGTCGATGGCTTGAAATTCAGTATATCTAGTGCTCAATACTCATGATGTTTATTTTTATGATATGGCTTCGATTAATTACACATGGAATTGAGCACAACTAAACTGTCTCGTTTATTTTATTTTATCTATTGCACATTGTGTACAAAAATACTTACTCAAACGATGAGGAAACTATATAATATTGCAGTTTTAGAAAATATTTTTCTATATTGGTAGATCAAGTACTTTTAACTTGCTTTCAGTAAAAGTGATTATGCTTCTTTGTTATTTCAATTTGTTTTGTTTGACTTTCCTTTGTAAATCTCATTATTGAAATAAAGATGAAAAGCTTTGCTTCTACAAAAATTAGTCGAACGGGTTAATATGCTTGTCCGAAGTCCGAAACCTGGTCTAGTGGCAGTTCGTTATTAAGTCTAATATTTCCATACTTTAAAAGAACTGGTGGTAATGTCATTTTAGGGTAATCTCTTCTCAATTTCTTCACATGCAGTTTGGTAAGACTCGAGACAAGTAAGACCTTCACAAGCAGTAGATAAACAAATGTCTATTAATCAGAGCAATATTAAATAAGGACTACTTTATTTAAATGTACATTGAGGAGTTTTCGTTAGCTGAGTTTGAATCACATATAGATTAATTGTGTTATTCCCCTTTCACCGTCTCTTAAATATCGTTGTGATATTAATGAATGTATGCAGTATTTAGAACGAAACGTACAGTGAATGCATATGTATGTCTTTCATTTTAAATTTAAATGGGTCATACAACTATAATATAAAAGGTGTGCACCAGGTCAATTACAAACAGAAGCATTCTCCTTTATTCTGGTTATGTATACAAAGAATAAGGTTATTATGCATTGACTGAAACGGCAATTATTTTATATCATTTTTCGAAGATCATTAGATAAGCCTTTGGTTTTTTTTTGTCAAAATGCCAATCAAATTCGTATATTTTTATATTTATAGACATGAAGACTTCGCTTACAAAATAAAAGGTAAAATAAAATGAAATACCGAACTCCAAGGAAAATTTAAAAGACAGACTTTATCAAATGGCAAATTTAAAGACGAATGGAACAACTGTCATATTCCTTACTTGGAACAGACTAGACAATGGTGGATTAAACCTAATATTTATAGCTAGTTAAACCTCTCACTTGTATTAAAGTCGCAATGAATTCCATTATATAGACAACAAATATGTGAGCAAAACAACAGAATTGGTTCAAATGTCAAAAATACAATTCATCCATAATATCAGTGATATAATTCAACCAACAGTATAAATATCGAGATTGTCTTAAATATATCAATAAGTTAATTTTACTAGAACTTCGGTAAACATTGAAACACCTTGAACAATATTGGCCTAAGCTAGCGATACTGTAACAGCCCATTATTTGGATGCTCACAAACTTTTAGGAATTTGTTTTCTCATATGCTTTATCGTTTATTGTTGGCGTTTGTTTTTGTAGCAGTTCAGTGTTTCTGTTGTTCCGTTTTTTTCCTCTTATAGTTAATGTGTTTCCCTCAGTTTTGGTTTGTGACCCGGATTTGTTTCAGTAAACTCGATTTATGACTATTGAACAGCGGTATACTACTATTGCCTTTATTTACCAAGCTCTAATCGTAGCCAATGACTTCTTGTGTACGTTTTATTGGAATTGAAGGAGATTGTCAATGAGACAACAAATCAATGCAAAAATAGCCAAAAGACATCGAGGTCAACATACATTTTTTTCTAAACTAGACAGGTGTCTTTTCTACGTATGTTCATATGTACATGGATTTAAAAAAAAAAAATCCAACCTTTGTTTCTAGGGTGGGAACTATCCTGATTTTTGTTTACGAGTAAGCCACTTAAAATCATCCCAATGTATGCATACAGAAATGGATTAAGGTGACCAATAATTGTTTCTCTTTATTTGATAACACATTTAGCTCCTTTTGTTCAATAATGGGAAATAATAATGACCAATTTTGTGTTATCAAACTTCCGAACATGCTTACACTTTCGTATTATATCGTTCAAGATTTCTCCTCATAAATCTTGACACACATATAAAATTTCATTACATATAATTAGCTTTCGAATAAAAAAAAAGTATCGATATGACAAATTGTAGATTTAACCCCTTCACACTACCACCATAAACAGATCCATAAAATAAAATACGGACCTGATCAGGCTTTATACGTTGATGTGGTTGTTCGTTCCAATATTTAAGATAGCTGTTAATCTTGTATCTTATTATGTATAGATGTTTCTCATGTTTCCGTTTCTATTCGTTTTAATACAATTTAAATATAAGAAGATGTTTTATAATTGCAATTGAGACATATTTCTACAAGAGGCCACGTGAGGTAAAGGTAGCATCTATATGTCACCTTACGGACTTCAACGATGAGCAAAACCCATACCGCATATCAAAGTTTGACATGACATCTACTTTTTGTTTTCCTCTTCAAGCAAATTATTTTTCCTATTCAATTTCTGATTACAAAAAGAGTTTAAAATGGTGAATAATAAAACAGTAGTGTTGACGCCATATCTATTACTTCTCTCAATCTATATGGAGACATGTGCTATTTAAAGAAAATTACTTTCATTTCTCTCCGAACTCTTTATTTATTATTGGAATATAAAGAGTTAGAATCCTTATAGTTAAGCGGTTAGGTCAGGCTATGGCAGAGTTATTGCCGTTAAATGAAATAACGTTTGCTATAGAAATCGATTTTCTGACACTCAAAAGACCGATGGGTTTTTGTTGTCTAGCAGCATATAGGAATCTTAAGATTGAGGTGCAATTAGATTCAGTGTCGTGCCAAATTGAGTTATAAAACAAGTGTAGTGAGTCAGAATTACTGTTTTTAGCTTTTGGTGAATTCTCCCCTGTCAATTTATGTTATCAAATTTATCTATAATTTGTTATAGTTTATGATATAATTTTAGAGATACGTTGCATATACCGCTTTCGTTAGAATCTCGTTATATCTTCATACAGACTAGTTTCTGTGATGATATTCCTATTTTTGTATATTAAAGTTAAAGTTATTTCGTTTTCGTTTTGACATAAAGTATGATTCAGTGTGTAATGGAAAGAAGAACAAGCCGAAATTTATCGATTTAATCATATGTATATCTTTTACTTTTATTGAAGAATGTGTTTGTTGTTTAACTTTATCATATATATGGTAAAATCCATTGTTGTAGTTCTAATGTTTTAGTTTTATTTCAAAAATTTGATTTACAACAATAAATTTGTCATCTATAAATGTATCTGTAAGTACTCATTCTGTGGTCTCATGGAATTATGCCCTAAGTTTCTTCCGTCTCCAAATAGGATTCAATCCCTAGTCGGGACAGACGAAATCCTTTTCAACTTATTTCGGCTACTTTTCCAAAAAGAAGAGTAGCTATACATATTTTTATATAAAACGTATCAAAGATTGTTATTGCCATTTAATAGATTAATAAATTTTCTTGTTGACTGGTATTTAGTGAACTAAAAGTCCCGAGCGTGTTAGACCTAAGTTAACACCACCAACAATAAACATGGTCATAGTGGTAGCAAAAAATTGTCTCTCAGTAAATCAATGTGTTTTAATGTTGACTGAGACATAATGACCTAGCCCTTAAAATATAGTACAAATGTTGTACTAAGTCAACATTTACATACAGATGGTACTAACGTGTTATTATCCAGAACATGCATGTATTACTTGCATCTAGACATATGCATCGCTCGGTCAATCTATTGGTTTATTCCAGTTAACATTTACAAAGTCGCGTCTAAAAAAGAAAGATCAATTTGGAATTTAGCATCAACTTTTCTTTGTAAGGATTCAATGCTTCTGATATCATGTGACTCACGCATCATACCCTTCGGGAGGGTAAAGTCAATGAAATTTTAAACATCTTCAATTAATCTGATGTTTTATACAATTTTCACCTATTACTGACAATGAAGCATTGACCTTGTAATTTCACTCAACTGCATGATACTATCGAAAAAAGAGCATATAAATGGGATTTAATTCATTTTATGGGTTTAAATCATGTATTATCACCTTACCACACTATCTTGTATGACAATCACAGTTGTGTAATATTATACTTTTAAATTACAATATTGAATGAAATTATAAGTAATAATTTTTGTAACATAGAGAAGTATTTTGGCTTTCGAGGTCATCGAGGTTTTTACGTTTAATTTATATTTTAATATTGAAATGTAAATATATTTGTGACGTTTTGTAGCATACGTTGCTGTAAACAAATATTTAAAAAAAAAAAGCACTTAAAATTTTGTGTATGTCTCCAAAAAACTTTTTGATCGAATTATCCTGTTATTTCAATAATTCTTTTCATCAATTAAACAGTAACTTTTATTCTTTAATTTTAAAGACAAATGTTTGATATTAATTTCATTCTTTATAAACATCAATTACAAATTATTCACTTCAATCCCTAATGCTACAACCGAAAAAAAAAGGTAGCATATAGTCGTCACTTGGTCCGTCTGTCTGTTTATCCGACACGCATGCTTTTCTGGTGGTAAATTGAGTTTAGCCTAACTGATTAAAATGAAACTTATATAGATGAAACCCATTAGAAAGAGAGAAAAGGCCTGGATTCTGATGTAAATAAATCACAATTAAAGGTAATCGTTGCTAAAAGTAAAATTTATTAAATGGTTTACAGATGGTTATACTTCAGTTTCTCTATGAATGAAACTTATAGAAATGAAAGATGTAGGGAAGAAATGGACGCCTATTGATTCTATGGTCAAATTTTTTAGACTACTGTAACTTAAAATGTTAATATTCGGAAAAAAAGTTGGTTTCTTGAAAAGTTACTTATAGATTTATTTAGCAATGTAATTGGCCGTGTGCCCACGAACCAGGTGGGTTTGCATGGGTCAAAGGAACTCATGCCCATTTTTGTTTTAGATTAAATGCCCTAAATAAACTCATCATAGATACCGGGATAAAAAAAGAGCTTTCTGTATAGTAAGGATCTGGAGGAATGGTTAACAATTTTGTTTTCAGAAAACCAAACTTTTTATACTTCCTGGATCATTTAAAAAAGAGTATAGTCCTTGCTTAGTCAGATTTAAGAAGAATATTCAAATATGGATTGCAACACATTTAAACAGATAAAAAACAGCATTGATAGTACAAATTTTATATTGTCCATCCAACCTTACACCTCAGGGTGCGGGATTTCGCTGTGTTGAAGACCCATTGGTGCCTTGGGCTGTTTTCTGCTCTTTGATTTGGTTGCTGTTTCTTGACACATTCCCCATTTCCTTCTCAATTTTAAGCATTTCTAAACTTTTCATAATATGAAAGACTATGCATGGCACTTGATTTTTTCTTACTTAATGTGCGGTGCAGAAAGCATCTGTTGAAAGTGACAGCTTTCCTCCTATGCGATGAGGAAACCGTCATGTAACTTTTTGTCTAAAAAATAAAAGATGTTGGTGTTTACTTAAATATGTCTCAACAACTCAAGGACATAGATGATAAAAAGAGATCTAGACATGGGTTTATGCATTAACCCTTAGAAAAGTCGGTGTTAACCAAATTTTGTGATTTTAAATTGGTCTTTGAATTTCTATTTTTTTTATCTAATTTGTATATTTGTTCGCCACATATATCTCAAAATATGTATTCCAATTTTCAATATTTAAAACAGTAGTAAAATTATATACAAGCATTACTCAATATAAACAAAACTAAGTCTTTATTGTAAAAAATAGTGGGAATTCAAGATAGTTCAACCGCAGGTATGGCATACATCTGTAGTTTACAATTTTTGCACTTCTGGTTGCTTATAAATATATAATGCAAGACGCCAAATAACTATATATATATATATATATATACATTTATTCATCAGAGCCTCTGTATCATTATATATAAGCACTTTTTTGTTAAAACAGCTGATACACTATCCCGAGGCCTAAATACGCAAACTATCAACTTAATTCATTTGAAAATGCAGTTTGAATTATTTAAATTTATATTAATTGTCATTCAACTCAAACAATACCTAACACATACGTCACGTTAATATTTTTTTGTATATTTGTTCGCTACATATATCTCAAAATATGTATTCCAATTTTCAATATTTAAAACAGTAGTAAAATTATATACAAGCCGTACTCAATATAAACAAAACTAAGTCTTTATTGTAAAAAATAGTGGGAATTCAAGATAGTTCAACCGCAGGTACGGCATACATCTGTAGTTTACAGTTTTTGCACTTCTGGTTGCTTATAAATATATAATGCAAGACGCCAAATAACTATATATATATATATACATTTATTCATCAGAGCCTCTGTATCATTATATATCAGCACTTTTTTTTGTTAAAACAGCTGATACACTATCCCGAGGCCTAAATACGTAAACTATCAACTTAATTCATTTGAAAATGCAGTTTAAATTATTTAAATTTATATTTATTGTCATTCAACTCAAACAATACCTAACACATACGTCACGTTAATATTTTTTCAGCAACAATATGTAATGAAACATAAAATATTTTACAATTTAAAGTTTAAATGATTTAAATTTTGATATATGATGTAACAGATATGAATGAATTTAGAACGCAGTATCCAAAATACGGTAAGTATCTATTTTTATTGTTTGCATGATTTCCTTTCTCCGGATTAGTTAAGGTTAATGTTCTTAGTGTAAATGTTGACAATTATTACGCGAGATAAACCTGAACAAAGAAATATGATCATCAACATAGTTTGCTTGGTTATTAGTTACATAAACAGTTGTTGTAAATAAGCTGATGTTTATTCATTAGTATAAGGTGTAAGCTGTACCAGAAAGTCACCAACAAATGCACATTCTATATATAAAACAGACGAGCAAAAAAGATGTAAGTATTATACGTAATCGTAGTCTATATTCATGTAATATATTTGGGCAGGAAAGGGGATGTCATTTAATGTCTGAATAAACAGTTTAAAGTGGCATCAGCTGTCAGATTCATGTTCCCTGCAAATCTGAAGCAATTCTTATATCTAAATGATAACATAATAAAATGTATATCCAAATTAACAATGCATGGACTCGTTAAAAGATATCAGCATTTCGATTGTATACTAAAACAGATGCCATCCAATTAACCATCGAGATGACCTACGAAGAATGTCTGAGGTGTATGACCCGATAAAAAAAATATACACATAAATTCACCGACAAGCATCTGCAATTGTATAATGATGATTTTTCAAGGTCTGTTTGTATAACATGTTCTTGTTTTCATGACTTTGTTCTAAATTATTTTATGTTCATAGCCACTTTTACAATATCGGTCATCGTGTATGCATTAAATACAGAAAGTATTAGTAGCTTGTACGTCTGTCCTAGAAGTTGTGAGTGCAATGATCTGGACGAGATAGGATCACTTTCAATCACGTGTTCGGTACCAACAATTAATGATTTTGACTTTTCGAATTTGAGACTAGCGTGACTAGTGAACTAAACCTGGATTGTCTTTCTTCACGACGTTCTCATTTAGAAGATAAAATGTTTCAACATCTACATTCCTTTTCGACAATCACTATATGGTATTGTAAATTTGACTATGTTACTGAACAAACCCTTAATGGATTATATAAACTTGAACATTTAACTATCGACGGAGCGAAAAACCTTTCAATTCATGAACATTCATTTATAAATACGCCAAACCTGTACATACTGGCAGTAGTAAACAGTGGGATGACTGGCTTTCCGGCAATGCATAGATTAAACCAAACAGAGATCATTAATTTCACCAATAACGTAATTGATAGCATATCTGATGATAATTACATTATTCCGATGAAATTTGAACGTTTGCGTGGAATTATTTTAAATTTTAACAGGATCAGGAAAATCAATATAATTTTTAGCAGAATGATACCGAATCTCAAATATTTATTGTTGGTAGACAACATAGTTTCGTATATTTCACCAAATAGTTTGAGAAATTTGACAGACCTAGAATTCCTAGACTTTTCAAAAACCAATATCTCTATATTAGACAAAAGCTTGCTTGAAGACAATACCAGACTTAGCGTCATAAAATTAAGATCAAATCCCATCAAAAATATTCCGGAAGGATTTTTTCGGTCAACAAAACAAATTGAAGTATTATTCTTAGATTCAACTTTTGTAAGTGATTCAATCTCGAGGCAAATATCCTCATTATCCAGTCTATATCGTCTCGTTGTTGCAAACTGTTCATTAACCTTCATAAATTCTTCCGTGTTTCGTCAACTTGACCGTCGACATTATATAGGTCTGTCTTACAACAAAATTGACAGAATTTATAACTTTACTTTTATTGGTCAAATAATACTTCAATCTCTTTTATCATCTCACAATAGTATTACCGTTATTGAACCTCAAGGTTTTCTTGGGCTTCATACACTCGAACACTTGCTTTTGACTCATAATAATCTCGGTGTAGTAGATCCGGTAACTTTTCAGTTTACACCATCATTATATCTGCTTAATATTTCTTATAATAACTTAACTTACCTTCCAAATGTTCAAAATTTGAAGAATCTATACGTAATAGATGCACGTCATAATCAAATTTAACAGTTTTACAGGACTGGATAATCTAGCCGGCTTAAATATAATGTGGAATAAACTTGCATATATTTCTCGGAAGGTTTTCCGACATACTCCGAAATTACAGCTTTTACAAGCATCGCACAACAACATCAAAGTTATAGAGAGTGTTTTTTTTTTTTTAAATTTGAAAATTTTGAAATGGATATTTGTTACACATAACAAACTTAATGATATTTCTAATATTTTCACAGAAATGCTAGCTTTAATTCAACTTGATTTAAGCAATAATATCATAACGGGTTTCATAAATTCCTGGTATTTTTACCAATCGTATGCTTTACAGCAATTATCATTTGCCAATAACTACTTAAGTGGAATTCGCGGAAAGGCGTTTTCATTTTTGTAAAATTTGCAATTCGTAGATTTAACGTATAATAACATTTCAACTTTGCAACCCGAAAAGCTGAATTTTTCGCTATTAGCAATACCACAACCATCAGTGTATTTCTTAGGCAATACATTCAATTGTGACTGTCATCTCAAATGGTAAAGGCAATGCTTAAACAGTTGGACTGACTCGTGCCAAGGATTACAAATGGAAGAATTCGAATTCCTCAAGTGTTACACTGCATATAGGATAAAACCGTTAGCTTTGATTAAAAATGTACATTTAGAGAACATGCTATGTAGGTTTGATGATCCGTGCAATGGCGATGACATTCTATGTGATTGCTGTCCAAGTTTATCTTGCAACTGTACAGTACCATGTCCACACATGCAATTGTACATGTCATATGTCATTAGACCGCCATAACACTGTTGTAAATTGCGCTAATCAACACTTCATGGAGTTTGCACAACCAATACCTATATCAACACTAACATTTTATCTTGACGGAAATAATCTATTCGTCATTAATTCATCAATATTGGAAGACCTTACTCATTTAAAAACACTATCTCTCAATCTCAGTGAAATATGTGAAATATTAAAGATAGAATCGGACAGTCTTACCAACTTGGAAATTCTATATCTAAATGTAAATAAACTGTGCGTTATAGACTCGATATTTAACGGAATCGTATTCTTGCGAGTTCTTAATCCTGAGCATAATTCCATTACCAGTGTTTCCAACAATGCTTTTATTGGAACAACAAATTTGGAAACTTTGCGTTTGGCCTATAACGCGTTAATATCTCTTCCTTCTTATTTCGCCAATACAATGAAGGCTCTTAATGAAATAAGTTTGTCTAACAATCCATGGTCATGTGACTGTGCTATTTTACATAATTTGAAAGAAATAACGTACGAATTAGCAGATGCCATTAAAATCGCTGTGACATGTACTGTGTTGTCTACAACTCTATAAATGCTAGTTCAGAGATCGCTACGATGCACCATTTGATAGAACTAGATTATTATTCTATATGCCCAAATCACACTGTAATATAAAAACAGAACAATGGAGAAACATGAGGAACATTTTGGACATACACAAATAGAGGCGTTTGTTTCAGTGTTAGCCGTTTTATTCCTTTTAGTCATAATTGCTACTATTATTTTACTCAATCGAACATTATTACAGGTTGCCATTTTCAACAAATTTGGGATACGATTATTGAATGAAAAACATAATGAAAATAAATTGTACAATGCATTCATTTCTTATACTCATAAATATGAAGGATTTGTTGTGCATGAACTTGTGCCAAGACCCGAAAAGATGGAAGGATATAAATTATGTCTACACTTTTGGGATTTTCCAGTTGGCGCATGTATAGCAGAGACAATCATTCAATCAGTAGAAGAAAGTTCTCGAACAGTCAAAATAGTCTCACATAATTTCTTGCAGAGCGAATGGTGTCATTACGAATTCCAAACATCTCATCACAGTGTTTTAAAAGATAGATACAAGAATATAATTATAATATTGATGGAAAATATTAACTTCTCCAAACTTGATCCGGAACTCAAATGTTACATGAAAACTAGAACTTATTTGAAAAGTCAGAATCCTTGGTTTTGGGAAAAGGTTATGTTTGCTTTACCAAAGAGAAAAGATAACCATAATGTACAAATTAATGATTGAAATGAAAAAGAAGTTGGAATTAAAAATAAACAGGCAAATGGAGTCAATTTGCAGATGAAAATAGACGATTGATTGTAGCTGTGAATTATAGTTTTGATGTTATTGTATGAGTGTGTGTAGGCTTTTTTTTGTGCTTGTCTTTTTTATTTGGGAGAGGGGGGGGGGGTATTCTGCTGTTTAAAAGAAGGTCCTCGCGATAATCTCTATCCAACTGAATTGGTTAATGAATATATGAACAATTTTTATATGTTACTGGTCGGTTGATTATTTTGTTTTCTGTACTTGTATTTTGTGCTATATTGCTAAATATATTTACTAATAAAATCCTTCTCGTCAGTTTGATTATTGAATATTAAGAAAACTATCTCGACCAATCATCATATCAAATTATGGGTACAAAAAACGTAAATAGATATCCATGCTTGGGTCATATGACAATTGGATCTATCTTAGTATGTAGTTACATCTTTGTACGCTATATCATGTAACTATGGAAAATCAGTAACGGTATCAATTGTACTTGAGGAAAAACAAATACGGTATTAATTGTGCAACACCGGATATGCATTCCAACAAATAATTTCTCTATCAGCTATGCCCGAGGTCGTAATTTCGGGCTAAAGTAATGCATAATACGATGAAGAGCTTATACAACCAAAATGGACATACCGTTTTAATACATATCATGGTTTAGTAAATTGATCAATGAAAAAAAATAAACAGTTGAAATCTTCGAAATAATTTTTCTATCAGAAAGAGTCGTTTTTGTACGTTTGTGTCTGTTTCATTTATCGGTTTTCATAATTAAAATATGATACATTTTCACATTCAAGGCTTTTCCACCTTAACAAGATGCAATAACAAATACATTTCCAACTTGACGAAACCATGTTTGTGTGACGGGTCTTCATGTGTAGACAGAGAGCTATTCAGCTTTATCTGAAACAATCATTTCAAGTATATAATCACTGCATTCTAGTACCATTAAACAAATTTTAAATAATTTCATTTAAATATTAAAATACTTCTCTAACCTATCGGTAAAATATAATTGATCACAAGTTTATTTCAATTATACGAGGACGTGTGAATTTTTTGTATTTATTTTTATATCCCAGGAAAGTTCTTCTATTACACCCTAAATCTCTTTTGATAATGTCAAAAACCATAGATACCGTCCAATACTAAACTCATTTATTAATTCATACTGAATTATCGTTTTCTTTCCGATCTTATGCAATTACATTTTTTGATAAATAACAGGTTGCCAATATCTCAGTTAACGCACCTTTAAAATAGAAGTAAACATGTTTTTTATGGCAAAAATACTTACAAAGGTCTCAAGTTGAAGTGATTTTATCAGTTATTTTTGAAGGGTCACTTAAAAGTGATTATTAACAGTGCGAAATCGAACGCAGGTAAAACGTTCAAATATAGATCACATTTTACTTAATCCATGTTAGGTGCGTATATGTAATCCTGTACTCTATACTGTTCATCGGAAATACCTACTCATGTAATATTTAATAAACATCAAACATGACGGAAGGATTATGAGTGTTAAAAATTCTTTAGAGGTTTTAGATAAAATACATGCTTTTGATGGTCCTTTTAATTCTGTTGACAGTTATGATTTTTCTACTCTCTATACTACACTTTCACACAATCTTATCAAGAAAAAGTTTTCATATTTAATTAAATGGTCTTTTGAAAAATCTCATTACAAATTTATTTGCTGTAACTCGTTTAAAGCCTTTTTCTGTAACGAAAAAGGAAAGTATGCTAGATACACTTACTGGAAATGTGAAGATATGATTGAAGCTTTAAATTTTCTCCTGGACAACATATATGTACGTTTCGGCGATAGAGTGTATCGACAGGTAGTAGGTATTCCTATGTGTACTAACTGCGCCCCTTTAATAGCAGATTTATTCCTGTATTGCTATAAATCTCAGTTTATGACCAAACTCAGTAAAGACACGTCATTGTTACATTTGGTTGATACATTCAACAATACCTTCCGTTATCTAGATGATATTTTTTCGTTAAATCCAGAGTTCTCTAGATATACTACCGAAATTTACCCAATAGAACTTACTTGAACTAAATCTAACATAAACAGCAGTAGTTGCCCTTTTCTGGATTTGGACATTTCAATCTCTAAAGGAAAGCTCCATACGAAAATTTACGACAAAAGAGACGATTTTTCATTCCCTATTGTTAATTTTCCTTTTTTAGACGGCGAAGTTCCTTTGGCTCCATCATACGGTGTTTATATATCCCAACTCGTTCGTTATGCCCGTGTGTGTAGTGATGTCATAGATTTTAACGAACGTAATCAATGCATCACTGGTATATTATTAAATCAAGGATTTCGTTACCATAAATTACGTAAAACTTTTGCTAAGTTTTTTCATAGATACAAAGATTTGATTAGTAAATTTGGCTGTACTTGTAGAAAACTGATTAAAAACAGTATTTCACATCCTAAATTTTACGGTAATATTGTACTTAAAGCGCGGAAATCACTATGTGATCCGTGTAAACTCATCGAACCTTTAAACAAACTTATTAGTAAAGGTTATCTTACCAATGTTGTAATTAGATCTTTGAATATAATTTACATTGGCACTAATATCGATTTTGTCATCAGCAAATTAAAACATAACTTAATTTGTATTTTTTTTCAAGCGGGATGTATAAAGACACACCCACGTTCGTTTAGATCTATAAAGAGGTTAAACTCCTAACTATCCTACTGTCTGTCGATACATTTATTTTTGGCATTGCACTAGTCATGTCTTCTTTGACTGTCCATGACGTTAAAATACTAAATCCCTGGGATGTGTTTTAGTTGATTTTAGTCTCTGATACATGATTTTTTATTATTAATTGTTTTGGCTTTTAACTAGCTGTCAGTAACTGCGAGTACTCTCAAATCGTACTTTCTTGTTTATTTGACCTGTTGATACTAATTGTATTGCTTTTTTGTTATTTAATGTTATTCAGGGTTATATCTGGTCTATATACCAGCTTTGATAAGTGTTTGGTATAACTATAAATTTTCACTTCGTACTATGAACATCAAAATTATTTTTTTTTTAAATATTTCCTTTCTCTATTGGTACTGTACAGGTATAACTAACAACAAAATTATTTTCATTTACCTGTGTTTAAAGTTATTACAAATGGCTGATATTTTTGTTCGAGCATATTGTTTTTCTTTAATTGTTTAACATTTCTTACCGATATAACATGTTACTTTTATTATTCTACCCTTAGTTTATTTATTTTGTAGTTACATTGTGTCATAGGTCAAATTTATTTGTTCAATGTATGTTCAATGGTGTTAATATGTCCTTTGATTGAGTTAAGCTATTTCAGTTGATATTTTATAGTGTGTCTTTCTATGTTGTGATGTTACACTATTGTTTCAGAAAAACGGTGAAGATTTGGTACCATTAAAACGTTTAAACCCGCTGCATTTGTTTGCACCTGTCCTAAGTCAGGAATCTGATGTTCAGTAGTTGTCGTTTGTTGATGTGGTTCATGAGTGTTTCTTGTTTCTCGTTTTTTATATAGATTAGACCGTTGGTTTTCCCGTTTGAATGGTTTTACACGTCTAGTAATTTTTTGGGGCCCTTTATAGCTTATTGTTCGGTGTGAGCCAAGGCTCCGTGTTGAAGACCGTACTGTGACCTATAATGGTTTACTTTTATAAATTTTGACTTGGATGGAGAGTTGTCTCATTGGCACTCATACCACATCTTCTTATATCTATTGAATGTGTTACAAATCTAAGATGAATATATATCATAAATTATTAATTGTATGATAGCATGTTTCAATACGGATTGACTTGCAATGTAGTTTTCCCTTCATTATAATTCATTGAACACAGAACCTGAGCTACGGACGTTACCATCGTGATCATAATGAAATCATTCTATGAAATTTTGTTGTGGCTTCTATTGAATACAATTTAACCGAGGTAACTCTATACGACGAGGGACGAAAGCAACATATAAAGAAATAAAGGTAAAACAGTTAACAGTAGTAATGTAAGTACAATGTAAATTAATTTTTTTTTCACACTTATTACCTTTATATGCGTATGTAGAATATGTTATTTACCTCAGTATGTTTTGTGTCATCTCATCACTTTGATGATAGTACGATGCAGTCCTGTGTATCCGCGCACCTAAGACTTTAGACTTCACTTTATTAAATTTATAAAACCAATAATCGGAAAATATTGTGTGAACAAATTGATAACATACTTTTATTTCATAAATTCTTCTGTATGTATGGTTTCACCCTTAAGATTTTGTGTGATGTGTGTCCAAATTAATGGAAACCACTGTTTTGAGAGTTCTTTAAATGTCCGGTGATTTCAAGCATGCCTTCTAAAAATAGCTTATTTTGAATAAAGGAAATATTTTATACTACGAAATATAGTTGAATTTGAACCAAACAGACTGTCAAGGGTGCAGAGCAAAAATTTATTGCAATCTTATAAACTTTGACTGAATCCAAATTAATGGAAACCACTGTTTTGAGAGTTCTTTAAATGTCCGGTGATTTCGAGCATGCCTTCTAAAAATAGCTTATTTTGAATAAAGGAAATATTTTATACTACGAAATATAGTTGAATTTGAACCAAACAGACTGTCAAGGGTGCAGAGCAAAAATTTATTGCAATCTGATAAACTTTGACTGAATGAAACAAATGTTATCTGATGATGTAATGTTTTTAATGGAAATTGGCTAAATAAGGTTATTCATTGGATTGCAGTTATAAATTTTCTCATGAACTTGTCAATTTTAATCTTTTCTGTCCCTTCGGAAGACTAAAACAATTACAAGAACGATTCTAATTGTGTTACATTGCGGATATGACGAAATCAGGTAATGCGCGATATCACCGGCCGCGCGGACACCGGGGACTCCATGTAATCAAAACCTCTACAAATTCAACTTTATAGAAAATATCATTGATC